GAGGCCGGTCTCTCTCAGCGGGGGGAGAGAGCCTCGTGCCTCCCGGTGCTGACATGTTCTCCCGGGGCAGAGGCCGCTGGGAGGAGCGCACCCTTCTAACCGGCCACCCTCCCGAGGGGGGCATTTTCCCATCCGGTCAGCCACAGGGCAGCTCCTCTTTCCTTCTGTCCTCCAGCCGAAGAGGGGCCTCTGGCCCCTGCACGGAGGCGCTGGGCGCGGGCCGGGGGCTCACCTTGGAGTAGTCCAGCTTGGCCGAGCTGGGCCCGGAGTCCAGGTGCGCCCGGACCAGGGACGTGAGGAGGTTGGCAGGGGAGGCATCCGGGGGCTGCCTGGGCTTGGAGGGGAGCCGCCCCCGCCGCCCCTTCAGGCTGTCTGTCCGGACCACTGCAAAGAAACGGCCGGGGTGAGGCAGGGAGGAGGAGACGTGCACAATGCTGGGAAGACCGAGGACCTAGAGCCCCCGAGACACAGGGACCCAACGGGGACCGCCCCGTAAGCAAGGCAGGTGGGCCAGAGGTGGGGCAGACCTAGGGTCCAGGGGCGCCCTCCTCCACCTGCCAGGACGGACACCAGGGCCTCCGCCGGCCACCCCCCCCCCCGGCCCACCTCTGTCCCAAGGCCTGTCCCACCACCCACCTTCCTTCACCATGCCCACGGCCAGGCACTTCTGGAAGCGGCAGAACTGGCAGCGGTTGCGCCGCCTCTTGTCCACAGGGCAGTCCTTGTTGGCCAGGCAGATGTACTTGGCATTTTTCTGCACTGTGCGCTGGAGGAGGGGGCGACACGGAACAGGCTGTCAGGGCGAGTGGGGAGGGGGAGCCGGGGAGGGGACGGTCCAGATCCTGCTGCCATCCCAGACAAAAGCACCCTCTGTTCGCAGCTATTTTTCTAACATTTGGGCGGCGGGGGGGGGGGGGGGGGGGGGGGAGGAAGGAGGTGGGGGGAGAGAGAACATCTTGGGGACGCTGAGGGAGGCTCTCACATTGGGAGGAAGACCCCCAGGACCCCGAACCGGGGACGAGGGGCTCCCCGGCAGCCCAGACACCTGCACGTCTCCTGGGCCCTCATCCGCCTGTCCCTTCCTCAAGGCGGACGAGAGAGGGCCGCGGAGGGGTGGCGGGGGGTGGTGACGGGAAGCTAAGCGGGCACCCAGTGCTGGGACAAACACACAGCCTGTTCCCGAGTCCACCCCCAGCCCTCTAGCACCGAGCCCTCTTCCCAGAGCCTTTCATCTCCTGCCAGGAACACGAGCAAGGAGAGCGAGCGAGCTCTCGCCCGGGGCTGCCTTCCCACCAGGCCTCGGTTCGCCGAGGATGGGCTGCGGGAGACCAGAGGCCGGCCACGAGCACATACCCTCTTGAGGACTCCTGCAGCCCACACCCTCTGCCCCTATCTCACCCCCTCTCTCCATCACACCGCAGTCCCCCCGGCACTGTGCGCCCTAAGACGGGAGAGGTCCCAGCCCCTCGCCGTTTCCTGGGGTCCCTTTCCTGATTAGAGGGACTTGCCGGGAGAGCCCAAGGGAGGCTCCCACAGACCCAGGGGGGTGAGCGGCCAGCCCGTCCGTCCGCCCGCCCGCCCGCCCGCCCGGGGCAGCCCCGTACCTTGAAGAAGCCCTTGCAGCCCTCACAGGTGCGGACGCCGTAGTGCTGGCAGGACGCGTTGTCCCCGCACACGGCGCAGCGGCCCTCGCCGCCGGCCGGCGCGCCGCCGCGGGCCTTGGCCGGGGTCCCCGGCACGCTCAGCATCCCCGGGCCCTCGAGGTGCGGGGAGGCGGGCGCCAGGCCCGGGAAGGCCGTCGTCGTCGTAGTCGGCGGCAAGGCGTAGCTCTCCCCCTCCACCAGCGGGTGGGTGGCCTGCGCGGGGAACAGCTTCAGGGGGCTCTGGGCCAGGCTGGGGCCCGGGCCCGCCGCGGGGGGGCTGAAGGAGAAGAAGGCCGGGGGCTGGGGCGGCCCGGGCGCCTTGGGCAGCTGCTCCGTCCATGCCCGCAGGCCTTCGTAAGTCTGGCTGGGCGAGAAGGGGCCGAAGGAGCCGTCCCAGGGGGAGAGCTGGGGCGGCTGGAGGCCGGGCGTGGGCGGCGACGGGGCCGAGCAGGGGCTGCCGTAGTAGTCGGAGCCGCTGGAGGACAGGGTCTCGTCCAGCGGGCCGCTCAGGGCGCCGGGGTAGCAGCCGTACACCTGGAAGTCCTCGAACTTGAAGGAGGCGGAGGCGGGGGAGGTGGCCGAGGAGGAGGACGTGGAGGAGGCCGAGGAGGAGGCCGAGGAGGGCGGCGGGGCCGTTCCCGGCAGCTGGTAGAGGAAGGTGTCAAACTCCCCCGCGTAGCCGTCCATGAAGGTGCTGAAGCTGGGCAGGGCGGTGGGCGCGCCGGGAGCCGCCTCGGGGCCGGCCAGGTCCATGGCGGGCTTGCTGAGCTCGGGGGTCAAGGGGTCGCTGGCCAGGTGGTCACGGGGTCCTGGGCTTGGCGCTGGTGTCCCATACTGGGCTTGGATACAGGGCATCTCTGGAGAGGGAAGACACCACAGAGGGGCATCAGCAAGAGGAGCCCGAAGCCCGACTCTAAAGACAGACCCCCGAGCGGCCAGGTGGCAGGAAATGCCAACCAGACGTGAGACCCAGAGGTGTGAGAGCCACGGTCAGCCCTAGGACCCGGGAGCCCTGGCCCCCGGCCACGGCCCTGTCCCCACCTCCTCGTCACAGAAAGCCGCCGAGCACAGGCCCTGCGAGAGTGGTCTCCGTCGGAAGGCCTGCCACACCCAGCCGGCCTGGGAGCCCTGGGGAAGGCATCGGGCCAGAATCTCTCTGTCAGAACAGGGGGAAGCTGTGTTCCTCCAGGGCCCTGCCCGCCCTCGCCCGCCGGCGAAGGCATGGGTGGGGGCTGGGAGAAGGGTGGGTGGGAGAAGCAGCCAGGCTCGGCCTTAGCTCAGTCCCCGGGAGCAGATAGGCTGTTTCTCCAATCTGGCACTTCTGGGAGTATTCCCAGGCACAGCCTAGCCTCTCCAAACCACCCCCCTCTTCCCTTCCCTCCTCCCCTCCCTGCCCCCAGTACCTGGGAAGGACATCCTGCAAATGGAAGAGGCGCTGGGAGTGAAAAAGGCCTGAGCAGCAATGAACCTGTCTCGTACCCCTGCCCCCCACACTGCATACTGAGCAAAGGCTGCAGGTCCCCCATGCACACCGGCCCTGCCATCTGGGGATGGGTACCCACTCTGCCCTGGCCTGGGATGCTCCCAGAGGCAAAGAGGAAGACAGCCCAGGACTCCTCGCCCCGTCCCCAGCTCCCCCGGAGACTGGGGAACCTGACTCCAGACCTTTAAAGGCCACATGCCAAAGAGAGGCTGAGAGGAGGCAGGAGGGAGGAGAGGACGGCCCCTTGGGTGTCCGGAGAATGGACAGTCCCCAAGAGGAATTTCTCTGCTCCCCCCAAGCATTTTTCTCTGTACTTTTCATAAGAGAGCCCTCAGCGTCCACCAGGAGTCCGGAAGTGGCTCTGCAGGGAGAAGACACCCTGCCCTGCCTGGGTCCCTCCATGAAAGGGTGTCTGTGCTCTGAGAGCTTCAGGAGCTCAGACAATGGGGTGACACCCCCACCTTCCACCACCCACCCCAATCCTGAGGACCAGAGAAGCATCACTCCCGGGGACCCCTAAGTTCCCAGCCTGGTCATAAACGAACAGAGAAGCGGCTCCAGGACAATTTCCCATCCCACTTCCACGCCTGGGGTTTGCACAGCTCTGGCCTCCCCAGTCAGGGAGGGATGCTGGGTAAGAGAGCAAGCTGGCACAGAGCGCTATCATCAAGGGGGGTGGGGGGGGGCAGCGGGAAGGGGCAAAGAACCCCAAGAGTCCTCGGCCTCCAGCCTTTCTCCCACCTCCGGGGGCCCTAGAGGGGGTAGCACCACCCTGACCTACCCCTCCCACAAGCCACCCAGACAACGGAGCCCCAGGAAGCCCTGGCCCCACCCACCCGGCAGCACCTGTCCGCAGCGCACAGCACCTGCGAGCGATAAGTGGCCACGTCTGCCTGCCCTGGGAAGGCATGGGCAGGGATGGGTTTGGGGCGGAGGAGAGGCAGCGGCCACGAAGGGCTGGGCGTTCCAGCTTTATTCAAATCCTGTTTCTCCACTCGGACGTCCCACATCCGGATCAACACCCCCCCCCCAACCTATTACCCTCCCCCCGCCCCCGCCCCCATGCAGGTACTCAAAGGCGCAAGAGACGGACCCACATAGGGGTGGAGACGGCAGCAGAGTCTCACAGGGAGGAGGAAGGGGCGGGGTTGGAGGAGGGAGGGGGCGAATCCGGCTCCAGGCAGGTCCTGGCAACAATGTGGCTTGCACCTGTTCTGCTGAACCTACCGCCTCAGGCTGCACCTTACCTGTCTGATCCAACCGTGACTCCGGAGGTAGAGGGATAGGGGTCCCCCTCCAGATAGTACCACACCGGAGACCCCAACATTGGTCATGGGCATCCAGGACCCCCAGGAACCAGGGTTTCCACGTATCACACAGACACACACACACAGGATCCAAGCTCCAGCTAAAACCAGCTCCTTGTTCTCCCAGAGACCCTGCTCCTGCCCCAAGGGGACTTTCTGATCCCATCACGCAACGGCACCCCCTCCACCGTTCAGCCAACGCTGGCCATTCCCGTGGGCCACCCCGAGGTCTGCTAACAGAGCTGGGGCAGAAACTTCAGGCTGTCTGTCCTGCAAGCCAAGCCGCAGCCTCTTACGTGTTAAGAAAAGTACCAGGAGCACGGGGAGGGGGCTGACAAGCTGGGAGGAGGGAGACCCCTTTGGAAATCCAACGGATCTGAAGCTCTCTGTGTCTTCCCTCCCAGGGTACTGAAAACCCCATCAGCACCCCAGTCCAGGGCGCTGGGTGCCCCGTTGAGCACCCTGGGAGGCTGAGCTACAGACAGCTCCCAACTGGACAAGTCCCAACTCCTGGCGCCAACCCCAACCCCCTGAGGCTTCCACCTTGCACAGACCTCACCCCCCACCCCACCCCCCGCACCAGGCAGACTCTAGTCCAACCTGGGGTCCTTGCTCCGTTCCCAACTGCTCCCCGGACAACTCCAGAGCTGCACCCTACAACATCCTCTCGACCCGCGCGTACACCCGCCCATCTCCTGCATGCAACACCCCGAAAACCCAAGACAGGCAGCGCCGATGAGCTGCACGCTGCCCGCGGGGGTACCTACCCGGCCGGCTCCTGCTTCCCCAGCCCGGGACCAGCAGCACCCCGAGTCAGTCGATGCCTGCCGCCGAGCGCACTCCTGCTCCTGCCGCCTGCACGCTGCCCTAACTCTCGCAGCCGCCGCCGCTGGGGCTCCCCGCCGGAGCCCACTCTCCTCTTAAGCGCTCCGTGACGCACGGGGCGGGGCGGGGGCGCCGCTGACGCACGGCCGGCCGGCCCTGGCCATACAAGGGCGCGGGGGGCGGCGCGGTTCCGGCGGGAGGCGGCGCGGGCCGGGGAGCCCGGGGGGGCGGGGCCAGGGGGGCTGGAATGTCTGCGCGGGTGACGCACGCGGGGTTCCATTGACGCAGGGAGCGCGGCCCGTTTGATCTATAAATAGCGCCCTCGCGCCCGCCGCGCCGGCTAAAAATAGCAGCTCGTGGACTCCCGAGGCTCCCCCGCGGCACCCAGGGCCCGGCCCGGGGTCCCCAGGTCCGAAATAACCGGCCGGAGGGCCAGAGCCCAAGGAGAGGGCGCTCTGGAGCCGCAGCCGCTAGGGCTTCCCCGACCAGGATTTCCTCACCCTCCAGCAGCTCCCCGGGCCGGCTCCCTGGGTTGGCTCCCTGGGCCGACTCCGCCTGGCACCCTCCCAAGCCCTTCCTGGAGGCCTGGGATTGGGGCGGGCAGGTCAGGGGCACACCTGATGAAACTGCGCCCACCCCCCACCTCAGCCCCGTGCACTTGACCAGCCTCCCCCTGCAGAGTCTCCCCAGCGGGGTCCTGGGCTGAGAGGTTACCCCAAGGATCAGTAAGAGTCTTATTCTCTCCCCCGCAATTTCCTATGCAAAACACCTTCCGGAGGGCAGGGGTTTGCCTGGCGGAAGATGGACCCATGGGCCCTGCCCCACCCGCTGAACTTCTTTTCTCACCAGTCCCCGCCACAGTCCCTTCCAGGTTGAGTGAACGCTGGTGGGAAATCACCGAATTTCAGAACTGGGTTGAGCCTGAGAAATTTTTTCGAATGTGTGCAGACTCTTCCCCATTTTTATAAATAAACAAACTCAGAAATACGGCACTTGTGCAAGGTCACAGCAAAAGGTGGTGGCCCACGGGGGTGATCCCTACTGACTGCATTACTAGGGGATCTTTTCTCGCCTTCCCCTGTCACCTCACCTCCAACACCTGTGGAAAACTCTGACCAGCCCTGTATCAGGGCTATATCAGGGCACAAGCCAGGCTGCAGCCACCTGGAACCTTCCCTGGTCTGGCTGTCACTCCCCTCCCCTACTCTGCCCCTCGCCTGGGGAACCCTTACCTGCTAGGAAAGAGAGAAAAGAAGGGCTAATATTCATAAGGAGAACACACACACACACACATACACACACACACACACACTGGGGCCTCACCCAGCCCCCTTCTCCCCTTCAACTCTACATGGAGTTTCTGCTTCCACTGAGCATGCACCCCTGGACCCCACTCTCACCTCATCTGGGCACCCTACAACAATTCCTTCTACCTTTGGGGCACTTCCTGCTCCTCACCTCCATCTCAGGTTCCCCACACCCTTGTCTTCCAGCCCCCACTTCTCTGTCCACTCAAAGGTCCAGCCAGCACCTCAAACTTCATCTATTCCCAGCAGTGCTTGTCATCTGTGCACTCTCCATTACCCCATTTCTGCTCCTGATGCCCTGCATGCAACTTTTCACTTTTTCCTGAAATTCTATTTTGGAACTTTTCTTGGATCCCCAGTTCCTACTGCCAACCACAGCCATGCCTCAGTGGTACCTGCAGGAAGCAGCAGCAGACCAGCTGAGTGAGACCAGGGACCTCTGCTTTTCCTTGCTCACACCCATTAGGAAAACTAAAACCACCCCTTAACGAGCTTGTCTCCACTTCCCAAACCCAAACCCCCCCGGACAGAGCAGTCTTCGCAGAATCCCAGTCTCCTTCAGTGATGTATGTGGTCAGGCCCTGCCAGAACACCCCGATTCCAGCATGGTAGCTCTGTCTTCAGAGCTGGCTTTTCCCAAACCATCTTCCAGAGACCCTTCAAGGCCACCGGGGTACAGGTGAAGCCCGGGCAGGACAATGCCAATGGGACCATCCTGGATCTCCACCCCACTTAAGCCAAAATTTTTCTTTGTCTTGGCCCTTTGCACAAGATTTTGCTTAGGGAAAAAAAAAAAAAAAAAAAAAAAAAAAAAAAAAGGCTTGACCACTAATATCATTCATGTCCTCCCATTTTGCAGATTAAGACCCAAGGACTCCCAGAGGACCTGCACCCTGCTCAGGCACACACAGCGAGTCTGGGCGGGTGAAACTGGG